GAGAACGCCACGGCTGAGCTGAGAGTACCAGCTCCCAGGGGCCAGTGCTACTTCTCCCTCTCTCCATCTGCACACAATCTTCCCAGATAGGTACTATTATGATTTCTCTTTTATAGATGAGGTCCTGAGGCCCAGAGAGATGAAGGGCTTATCCTGGAGCAAGCAACTAAGAAAGGGAGGATTCAAACTGAGGTCTTCTGACTCCAGAGTTAGCCTCTTATGCAGTCTACATGCAGACCCCTGCAGCACTGTGCCTTTTAAATTCCTTGGCAAACATGACCTTCCAAAGGGCCAAAGGGGCATCTCAGTGGGACAGTGGATGATTGATACAAAAACCTAGAAGAGAAGCTACTACAGCAGACACCCTCATACCTAAACAAGAGGATGGACAAATGCCCAAGAAATGAAGTCCACATAGTCACTGTCAAAGCAAAACTATTCTTCTCCCAGGGAAAAGGAGAGATTTCTCATTTTATCTATACGGAAAGATTTCTTTTTCAATAATTGCATCAAAACCAATTTATCTCAGCAACTTATGAACTATGACCAGTTTTAAATACTAAGACAAGTATATTAAAGTAATATAAAAGTCATTCCATGTCATTTTCTAGCGTGAAAAGGAATCCATATTTATTTTTTATCCCATATTTATCTTTTATCCCTTATCTTTTATCCCAAACTACCCTCTCCTATAGCAACAAAAATCAGGGCTCACCAAAAGGTTTTCTGGCTTGAGGTCTCGGTGGACGATGCTCCTGTCATGCATGTGGACAAGGGCCCTACATAAGTCCAGGATCATGAGGGCAGCATCGGGCTCAGGGAACTTCACACTCTCTATGATGGCATCAAAAAGGTCCCCTCCTTGCACATACTCCATGATCAGATAAATTTCTGTTTCCGTTTCATATACTTCATACAATTTCACTATGTTGGGGTGAGAGAGGCTCTGGATGATTAAGATCTCGCTATCAACCATGTCCTCCTTCCCCTTGAGTTTAGACTTGTCAATGATCTTCATGGCATAGGCCTGTCTGGTCTCACGGTGTCTGCACTCCTTCACCACGGCAAAATTTCCGTCCCCAATGACCCGACCAGTCTCATAATGCTTCTCCAGGTTGGCTGCAATGATGCCCAGGGGCCGTGTCTTTCGACCTGGCCGGTCTTGCTTGTTCTCTTCTGGCCTCATCTTGAGCTCCTTTTCTACCCTTGTAGGTTGGTCATCTCTGAGAGTCATCTTCCTCCCTCCAGACAGACATACCTTTTTCTCCTTCTCTGCCTCCTTCTCATCCCGGCGGGGTCTGGGGAACTTCTCAGAGTCAGCCTGGCACTCTCTCAGGAGCCAGCCACCATGTTTGTTCCGGCAAACATGCCTGGTATCGTTCTTCATGTCTCTCGGCCCCTCCTCTGCAACTGGTGCAACTTCAGCCAGGTCCTTCTTAGCCTTGGCTGTTCCTGGAGGATGGCTTTCTTGATCTTCTGGCTCTTTGTCCTCTTTCTTCCCCATGTTCTTACCAGGTCTCCTCAGTTCTTGAATGGGATTCCTGGGGCTGCTCCGGTGACTGTCCCCTTTCCACCCTTCTTCCCTACCCATGATATTTGCCTCGGGAGACTTCCGGCAGCTTTTTGTCCTCACCAGCTTTTCTGTATCATACTTTGAGCACTTCCCCATGTCCAGCTCACTCGTCCCCAGGGACAACCTTTCCCTCTGCAGGCTCTGCTGGAGCTCCCTCTCTCTCTTGCACTTCTCACACCTGATAATTTCACCCGAAGTCTTTTCTATCTCCACTCCTAAGTGCTTCTCTCCACTTGCATGTCTCTCCTCTAGAGTGGCTTCCCTGGAGGGCTTGCTACTGGGTTCAGGCTCCCGCTTCCCCCTCACCCACTTCTTCTGGGGCCTCGTTCTATCATCCAGCACCAGCTCTTTGGGGGTCTTCTCCTGGTGCCTGATGGCCGCCTTGTCCCCAGCTGCCTCACTGCAGCTCTTGGTAATCTCAGTCTCCCCACAATGATGCCCTCCTTTCAGAGACTTGCTATAAAGCCTGCTTCTCAGCCTTGGAGAAGGGACCCAGCTGTGTGGGGTAACCGTCAGGGTACGGGCTTTGTTAGGGTACAGCTCTTCAATAGCTGCCTGGATGTTCTTCAACGTCAACGGTTCTTTGCCCATGGCTATAAAAGCATCTCCTTCCCTGAAGAAATCAGAGACACTCTTGATTTCCCTGCCCTTCAAGTTAAACAGTTTTCTCACTCGATCATTCTTCCACCTCGGAAAGCCCAAGGCTTCTGAGATGTCCGCAATCAGCTGTTCGAATGTCTGCACCGACCGCCTGTTCAGGAGAAGGGTGATCTTGCGGAGGGGCTGCCCGCCCAGCTTCACCACAGTCACGACCCTGGGTTTCAGTGGACTGTGCTCAGCATGGACAGAGTGAAGGCCATTCTGAGGGCTGAACACGGGCACCACGGAGCCACGTGGCCCCAGGAATGGTTTCTCCAAATTCCCTCGGCCAGCAGGTAGCCAGGTGCCCTGCAGCTTCCGCTCTGTAATTCTTGAGCTTAAATATTTTAGAGAATGGTCACAAAGGCCTCGATTTCCTGCAACAGGGAAAGGACAAAAGAGTATTAGTCAAGACAGATTCAAAGAGTTCTTTAGGCTTCCCCACGGCTTTACTAAAGATCGTTGATTCTACTATTAGGTGATAAGTGTGACCTTTGAAAGTTTGCTTAAAATGATGGCGTCTTGGGGCCAGCAGGAGCCATGGCGGTTGGGGCACTGGACTCCCACATGGCCGACCCATGGTTTGAGTCCAGGACTTGGCGGCTTGCTTTCTCACTTTCCCTCTATCTCTTTCTGGTGAACACAAAATGCTCTATAGCAAATTTTTAAAAATAATTATGTTTAATTATTAAATAATTATTATCATAATCTTTGTGAGGGATTAATAAAAAATTACAATAGTTCATTTAATGGAGTACTTCAACATACTAAGAGGACAGTAATTACCCATTATTAGTGCTGTCTTTATAATCCTCGTCTCCTTTTGGTATTACTATTCCTTTTACTAGTAATAGCATCTACTGATAAAGTGGAAGTCCATGGAGCATAGCTTTAGCTGACATCACAAGAACTGACAGACTGAGACCAGCAGTTAGCGTAATGGCTATGTTGCTGGACTCCCATGTAACTGACCGCAGTTCGCATCCCGGACCCAGTGGCTTAAACTCATGCCGGGCACGTGAGCATGCATGCCCAGGATCCTGAGAGGAGAATGGAGGAGAAGGGATTGCGGCGTGGCCATCCCCCCGAGGGGGTGATTTCTTGCTTTCTGCCTCTCTGTCTCTCTCTGGCGAGCACACATGCCCTATAGCAAAAACCTCTCCAAAAAAAACCAATAAACTGACAGACCAACCTATGTAATGGGTATTTCTTAAAACTCTGATTGGAATCATCTTGCATTTGAGGTTGACATAAGAGACTCAAACGAAGTATTGATAGAAGTATAGAAGTATTGATAAAAGTATTCCTTCTCCAAATATTTTTAAAACTCTTTTCTTTAAAAAAAGAAGGAAAGAAACCAAGATCATATTAAAGTTCCGAGCTTAAATAATAAGACTGCACAAGAATAAAATAAGAGTTCATTTCCTGTTCAACTGGGCCCAGCCAGGATGAAGTAGTTGAGACAAAAATGGTTCACTTTCCCCAATTTCTATACAGACTAGAAAAGGAAACCAGAAAACAACAGAATGTGGAACTCTGTTAAACCATGAGGGTGGAAAGAAAGTATTAAAGTTACCCCACAGGATCCATATGTCATATCTGACATGTAGGAATCCGCCATTTACACTTCCTTTTCAGAGAAGTTAAAAATAATTATCTCTGAGTATATCTGAATCCACCACAGCAGAGACTCCGGTTGTTCCAGGCAGGGCAGTTTGGCCCAGAAATATCTACACAGAATGGTTTTGGTTTTTTAATGGATAATATACAATCTATTCTGAGATGATTTCCATCTAGACACGAGTGTCAGATCCGACGACAAGGTAATGCCTGGTAGTGATGTTCCCACATGCCACAAATTCATGAGCTTAGCGATCACATTTATTGTTGAACTATTTCTTTATGGACATCTGCGATCCCTCGTCTTCTCACAATCTCTCTAATCTCTCTGCCTCCATTTCTGTCTGAGAGAGTTAAAGTTGACAGACAAAAAGAGCGCTACAACAGTAACCCTCATTTGTATCTTCTGCACAGGGGAACTGAGGAAGGATGCCAACGAAAGTGACCAGCAAATGCACAAGAGTGCAGAGGGACTAGCATTTATTTTATGTCTATTGCTTCACACAGAGTAGGAGCCTTGATATATATTTGTCGGACTAGGTAAAGGAAGTCCTCTTGTTTTCTCAGAAGATGAGTAGAGGGACAGAGAAAGGGACCTTAGTCTCTATGCCAGACTACGGCTTTTCCAAGGAGCTGTGAGGAAGGACAGGGAGGTCTAGGGATCTCCCCACTAGCTGAGGTCATAGGTGGGAAACTCACCAGCAAAAGTTAGTGGCATTGAGAGACAGAACAAATGGAAAGAACCAAGAAAATGAGCTCGAAGGACAGGAAACGAGTTATGCTTTCAACAACTGAAGAGGTGAAGGCCACCTAGCAGAGGAGCCACAGAACCACGATTCAGGGCTAGACGGGTTGTCCACAGGACTGTTGAGGTCACCACAAAGGAAGGTGAGATAGACTCAGGCTTCTATGGAGAAATGACCAGGCAGCTGCTATGTGACAGTGCCAACGTTGAGGGGATTACATCACTGGAAGATATAAACCCCAATTAAGAGAAGGTTTTATAGGTGGGAGGAGAAATAGCTCTGAAGCAGCCTTGAGAACTAACTTCTGAGCTTTGCCAACAAAAGCCACAGTCCTTGGGTAAGAACATGCTCTATTCTGGAACCAGCAGATGGCATAGTGGTTATGTCGCTGGACTCCCATGTAGTCCCACAGTCTTGTTTTCTCAGAAGATGAGTAGAGGGACAGAGAAAGGGACCTTAGTCTCTATGCCAGACTACGGCTTTTCCAAGGAGCTGTGAGGAAGGACAGGGAGGTCTAGGGATCTCCCCACTAGCTGAGGTCATAGGTGGGAAACTCACCAGCAAAAGTTAGTGGCATTGAGAGACAGAACAAATGGAAAGAACCAAGAAAATGAGCTCGAAGGACAGGAAACGAGTTATGCTTTCAACAACTGAAGAGGTGAAGGCCACCTAGCAGAGGAGCCACAGAACCACGATTCAGGGCTAGACGGGTTGTCCACAGGACTGTTGAGGTCACCACAAAGGAAGGTGAGATAGACTCAGGCTTCTATGGAGAAATGACCAGGCAGCTGCTATGTGACAGTGCCAACGTTGAGGGGATTACATCACTGGAAGATATAAACCCCAATTAAGAGAAGGTTTTATAGGTGGGAGGAGAAATAGCTCTGAAGCAGCCTTGAGAACTAACTTCTGAGCTTTGCCAACAAAAGCCACAGTCCTTGGGTAAGAACATGCTCTATTCTGGAACCAGCAGATGGCATAGTGGTTATGTCGCTGGACTCCCATGTAGTCCCACAGTTCGAGTCCCAGATCTAGTGGCTTAAATTCATGCCGAGTGCATGTGTGCGCATGCCCAAAATCAATTGCAAAGCCAATAAAAGGAAGCCATGTGAAATCCTACGATGCTAGAGTCCCTCGTGGCTGACCACAGCTCAAGTCCCAGACCTAGTGGCTTGCTTTCTCACTTTCCCTCTCTCTGATCAAACTGGAAAATAATAATAATAGTAAATAACGTTAAATAAGATCATTCTTTTTAAAAATAGAATTACCATTATAACCTAGTAATCCCACTATTGGGAATAGTCCCAAAAAACATGAAAACAGAGAGACATTCGCACTTCGATGTTTACTGCAGCCTTACACACAATAACTAAGTCACAAAATAAACCTAAGTGTCAAAGAACCAAAAAACACATTGGGAAAATGTGGTACCTATACACAACGGAATACTACTCAGCCACGAAGAACAATAAAATCCTATCACTTGACACAAAGTGGACAAACCTAGAAGATATCACGCTAAGCAAAATAAGCCAGACTATGAAACACAAATACTGTATGTCCAAACTTAAAACACACCAAATGTCCGTACTCCACGGTAAACACTGAAGAACGCAATAACACCGAAATAGAGTACTGCTAAATATCTGAAGATGGTTGAGGGAAGGGAGCGCTTATGAGAAAATGTCTAGGAGTTTTCCCCCCAGCCACCCTACAGGAGAGAGGCTGGGATGGCCGATGAGACTGCGAAGGCTCAGGTCACCCAGCCTGGTGGCCACATGGCAGATGAGATCGCCAAGGCTCAGGTCGCCCGACCTGGAGGCGACACGATCTTCGGGAAGATCATCCGCAAGGAAATCCCCGCCAAAATCATTTTTGAGGATGACTGGTGTCTTGCTTTCCATGGTATTTCCTCTCAAGTACCAACACATTTTCTGGTGATACCCAAGAAATATATCTCAGGGACCAGCAGTTGGCATAATGGCTACATCGTTGGACTCCCATGTAGTTGACTGCAGTTCGAGTCTCAGACCCGGTGGCTTAAACTCACGCCAGGCATGTGCACATGCATGCCCAAGATCCCGAGAGGAGAATGGAGGAGAAGGGATTGTGGTGTGGTAATCCATCTCAGGGGGGGGATTTCTCACTTTCTGTCTCTTTGTCTGTCTTTCTGGCAAGCGCATGTGCCTTATAGCAAAAATCTCTCAAAAAAAAAAAAAAAAAAAAGGAAAAGAAAAAAGAAATATATTCCAGATTTCTGAAGCAGAAGACGATGATGAAAGTCTTCTTGGACACTTAATGATTGTTGTCAAGAAATGTGCTACTGATCTGGGCTTGACGAAGGGCTGTCGAATGATGGTGAATGAAGATTCAGAGGGGAGACAATCTGTCTATCGCATTCACCTCCATGTTCTAGGGGGGTGGCCTCCTGGGTAAGCATGTTTTGGGGATCATTTTCCCTTCTATAGGCAACAATCAAGTGTGCAAGTTATAGTCTCAGCACACTTATTTTGGCCTGTGTGTGGAGAGATGGAGGAAGTAATTTGAAAACCCCATACGTAATAAAAGACTTTGTTGCGTGGTATAAAAATCTAACAAACACATAAATGCATATAAATAATAAGGTTAGAAGTGGCAGGTAAAAAATATCCAAGTTCCTCAGCTTAATATGCAAGGACCTCCCTAACCTAGTGACCTCACTCTTCCAAATCTATTCTAGCCTCACTCCCCACCCATCCAAGCCTCACCGTTTTGGAGAGCTCAGGCCCCATATCTTATTTTTTTTTATTCTTTTTTTTTTCTTTTTGAGAGGTTTTTGCTATAGGGCATGTGCGCTCACCAGAAAGACAGAGAGAGACAAAGAGACAGAAAGCAAGAAACCACCCCCCAGGGGGGATGGCCACACCACAAACCCTTCTCCTCCATTCTCCTCTTGGGATCTTGGGCATGCACACACATGTGCCTGGCATGAGTTTAAGCCACCAGGTCTGGGACTCAAACCGCGGTCGACTACATGGGAGTCCAGGAACATAGCCATTATGCCAACTGCTGGTCCGAACTCAAGACCCGTATCTGCCACCAAACTCTCCCTGACCTTACAAGTTCTCAGTGATAGCTCGCTTCTCCAAAGCCCTATTTATTCATTAAACAAAGATTTAGCATGAATACTTGAGACCTAAGCCCAGCACTTGGGTGCAGAATACCTGGTCCCATCTCCTGCACATCTTGGCTAATTGCTCATCTCAGGAGGTGACACAACCCTCCCGACTAAACTGTAAGCTCTCCAAAGGCAGAGACCATGAACTATGCAGACTCCCTGCTCTACTCTAGTACTGAAGATTTACAGAACAAGTTCTCAAACCTAGTATCAAATACAAATTAGTACTCAAGTCTTCCGGCTCCATAAGTGTCACTACATTCGGCACCGGTAGACATCACACAATAGACCTCTAATATTTATTAAATAAAGGAGGTGAAAGAAAGCATGATCACAGGCAGACATGTACCACTGGGAAATTTGCAAAAGTAGTGTGCATAAGGAATAGCTAACAGAGGGAGGGAGAGCTGGCGAAAAACCCTCCTTTAAAAGTTATACAAGAAAGGGGCCAGCATCGAAATTGACATAGAACGTAAGTTAATATGCAATTACTTTTTTGAGCATTTACAAATTATGTGTGCTAAAAGATACAAAAATTGGTGTTTTAAAAAAATCTGGCAATATCCAATGCATCAACAAAAGATCATAAAAGAAAAGTGAGTGCATTTAAGAGCACAGTACGAACCCTCCTTCCTAGCAGAGAAGCTCCTCTTAAAATGTTCTCTTAGGACCAGCAGGTGGCGTAGTGATTAAGGTGCTGGACTCCCACATAGTCAACAGATTCGAATTCCAGACTCGGTGGCTTGAAATTTATACCAGGCACATGTGCATGCATGCCCAAAACCCTGGGAGGAGAATGGAGGAGAAGGGATTGCTGCATGGTCTTCTCTCCTGGGAGGTGATTTCTCGCTTTTTGTCTCTCTGTCTCCCATCTCTCCAACCACCACACGCACACTATAGCAAAAATCTCTCCAAAAACAAATTCCTTTTTATTAATTTTGTATTTCTTAGTGGTTGATCACTGATGGCCTCAGCATGCACTGCTGAGAGACTATTTATTTCTATTCTGCTGTGGACAATGGAGAAGGATGAGTTGAAATAATTTTCCTTTTCACTGAGTAATGACTTGTCCTGGACATTTTCCAAGGGCTGTTTGGGAACAAACTCATTTTGCTCATATGCAGATATGAGGCAGGAGAAACATTTGCGAACTTACATTTGATTATGCAAACATCCCAAGGAGGGTTTTCCAAACGAATAAAAAATTGGAATGCAGCCTCTCGCTACTGTTTCATAACTCAGAAGCCCAGCCAACATCTATATTAATCAAAGCTGGAGAAATTAATAAGGGCAAGGTAATAAAAATGAAACTACCATGCTATTTATTGGCCACCATCGCGGATGACACTCCAATCTTTAATGAGTGTTGCCACTACATAATCTTTTTTATTATCGGCATGACATTAACAGAGACAGCAGAAACAGTAACTAATGAGACTTTTCCCTGCTCGGAGTCAGGAGTGCTTCTGTTCTGGGTTGTCTCTTATCTGCTGACCTGTTCATGCCAATTTCCCTAAGTGCTTCCTGGTATGCTGACCCAGATGTCTAGATGGTCTCTGAGTGAGGAATGTTTGTTTACCAGTTCTAGTTCTTTTTTTCTTTTTTTTTTTTTTTTTGGGGGGGGGGGTTTGTTATAGGGCAAGTGCGCTCTCCAGAAAAACAGAGAGCCAGAGAGAGAGAAAGTGAGAAATCGCCCTCCCAGGGGGGGTGTGGCCACACCACTATCCCTTCTCCTCCATTCTCCTCTCGGGATCTTGGGCATGCATGCACACACACCTGGTGTGAGTTTAAGCCACTGGGTCCGGGACTCAAACCATGGTCACCTACATGGGAGTCCAGCAACATAACCATTACACCAACTGCTGGTCCTATTATTATTATTTTTTAATCTGATGAGAGGAGGAGAGAAAGTAAGAGCATAAGCCACCAGATCCGAGACTCGAACCATGGTCGGCCATGTGAGAGTCCAGCACCTTAACTGCTATGTTATCTGCTGGCCCCAACCAGTTCTAGTTCTATTCTAACAGTTGCCTGATGCTTCTTCTAAGCTATTTGCTCATTTAGAGATGGAAATGACTGTCCCAGTCACTTTGGAGTCACTTTAAGTTTTATGTGTTGCCTCAATTGTTTGCAAAAATATTTTTAAATAAATATCCCCTTCCTCATCTTTAAAGCTCATCCCCTTCCCTCTTGATAATCCTTATCCTCCCCTCTGAGTTTTCTCACTCACTCACTCTGGTCTAGTTCCACATATGCTGCCCATCTGACCATCCTATCAGTTTCCACTTCCTCCTTAGGAAGCATTTTCCTCTCCTCCCAGAGGTCCCAAGACATCCAGTTACACCCTAAAGAGGCCCCACAACAAAGGAGACCAACAACCAAAGGTAAGAAGTTGTCCCTGTTCTCACCGGCGTGTCTCCTCTGGACATCCTGCCGAAATGGTTAACCAGGGGCTCCATTTCCAGCTCACTGTGTTCTATCAAGGCTCCTATAAAGTTCCGGTGCACACAAATCAAGTGGGACTCCTGTAAAGTGCAGGTCCTGATTCTGTCCATCTGAACTGGGGGCTAAGAGTTTACATTTCTAGCAAGTTCCCAGGTAATGCTGATGCCTTTGGATCAGGGACCACACTAGGAATAGCAAAGATAACAGAGAAAATTTCGCTATCCTTCTAAGGAGTGCTGGCTGTTTATAAGTGGTTATTTTCAAAAAGTGAATATGTAATTTATGATATGTTACCAAAACATAGCATCACGAAAGGGGCCAGCAAATGGCATAGCAGTTCTGTTGCTGGACTCCAACATGGCCAACCATGGTTCAAGTCTCAGACCAGTAGCCTGAAAAATCACACCAGGTGCGTGTGCGTGCATGCCCAAGATCCTGGGAGGAGGATGGGGGAGAAGGGATTGCGGCATGGCCATCTCCCCCCAAGGAGTGATTTCTCACTTTCCCTCTCACTGTCTCTGTTTCACCCTAAGGCAAAAATATCTCTCTCCCTCTCTCTCTCTCTGTATATATGTGTGTGTGTGTATGTGTATATATCTATCCCTTCTCCTACATTCTCCTCTTGGGATCTTGGGCACACATGCACTCGTGCCCGGTGTGAGTTTAAGCCACTGGGTCCAGGACTCAAACCATACTCATATACACATACACACACACACAGACATACATACCATCAACAGCACAGTGAAATGAAAAGTCCAATAATGAACAATGGTCCTTTGACCAAAGGGTCTTCTTTTAAGTACAGCAACCCAAAATGGTAAAGGAATGATCTAGAATTTGACTACTGTCGGGGAGGAAAAAAACTTTATCCTCTGGTTAGGTTCATTGATTCCAGCCATGTGAAATAAACTGACAAAAGAAAGACTGGAGAACAAAGTTTATTTCATATGTATATAGGGCGTCACACAAATGAAGAAAAAAAAAAAAAAAAAGAAGTGGTCAGACCCAGAGGGTTACATACCATTTTAACAAAGGAGGATAAATTTGTACAGAAGTGACAGGCCAAAGGAAGTCTTCGGAACTTCTAGAGGCACTAAAACAGTAAATATATAGGGGAAACTAATGGGAGATGGGGGGGGTAGTAACCATTTTTATTATTATTTAAGAGAGATTTTTGCTATAGGGCTCATGTGCTTGCCAGAGAGACAGAAAGTGAGAAATCACCCCCCAATGGGGATGGCCATGTTGCAATCCCTTCTCTTCCATTTTCCTCTTGAGATCTTGGCCATGCATGCACACACACACACACACAGTGTGAGTTTTTAATGGCCAGGTTCAGGACGCGCACCATGGTCAACTACATGGGAACCCAGCCATGTAACCATTTCGCCATCTGCTGGGCCCTTAGTAACCTTTTTTATGCATATTACTTTCAGTCCCATCTCTGAGCTGACAAGGGTCTGGAGTCCTCTTTGGTGATTAAGAGTCAATCTGGTGACCCAGCCTCCGTGGCACAGTCTATGTGTGTCAGACTGCACAGCTGGAAGCCACATGCCAACCATGGTTTGAGTCTCTGACTTGGTCTGGCCAAAAATACACCAGGCACATGCACATATGCGCTGGATCCCTGTGGGAATCACGACATAACCACGACTTGTGGAAGGTGCTTCTCTGTGTGTGTGTCTCTCTCACTTTCTCATGCACACACACATGCTCTATCATGAATTTTTTAAGAGTCAATCTGGTACAAAGGATCTGAGAGAGATAACCTCATGAAAGGAAATTTACATTCTGCTTTTAGGCAAATGGGGGCAGGCCAGAGAGCTTTTCT